CGACCATGGCCTTTCTCTGATGCTGCTTTGAATGCCTCTCACTCTGCTCAGAAAAGAACAACATCACACTCTCTAATTTTACACACTACACATCAAAGTACACAATGGACTAAGTTTTTCACTTTGCAGCTGACATCTCCCACTGCCTATCTTTCTGATCATAGTATCATATTCCCATGTTGATAAAAATATTTCGTTTCATGCCCTTAAGAGTGGTGCAGGCATCGTCACGGTACAAAATACTGGCCAGACTCATAATCTTTCTCTTCTTACCACCATAGATGCTATTCCTGTAACAATTCGAAAACATGTTTCTCTTAGTTCTTGTAGCGGTACCGTCGTTCTGCCTCATACCATTGTTTATCATGATTTCCAGACATGTGGTAATGACATTCAGAAGTAACTTAAGCTCCAAGACTTCCCACTTCTCACTGGACACAAATGTACTACCTGCCTGTGGGCGGAGACGCTTTCCCTGCAATGTTGCTCGCTTAACATTTGACTGCCGTGAGTTTCTGTCTTCGGTTTACATTACTAGTCCGGAAGTTGATCCCTACACCACAACAGTGTCGAAATTGCTGGCGTTTTTCCCAGCCAACGAAGTATTGTAGGTCCATGGCAGAATGCCCAGTCTGTGGTGCTGCCGATTATACCGATACATTTTGTAGTCTACTTCCATCTTCCCTTAATTGTAATGAAACTCATTTATGTCATTGTCGTCATTGCCAGGTTTACTTAATTGAATGAGAAATCCACTGTCTCATTGACAAAGGCTTTACTTAGGCCTTGGCAATCTCTCATCTATGCCTCTAAGGGAGACTTCCTCGTATTGCTTATTCCCAAGTTACTAAGAGACTTGCAACCCATGCGGTCCCAACTCTCACAGTCTCCCCTGTGGTCACACTTTCCACAGTCACCTCTTTATCCAATTCTTTTGCAGTCTTGGACTCCGAGGTTCCTACCTCGTCGCCTCATACTGCCCTTAAATCTTCTAGCTCGCAAGTTTTATGTTTACAAGACCTTGCACAACGGCTCCTCCCCTTAGCCCCTCTAATTCCCCAAAGTGTAAACCTCTTGTACCCCTCTTTTACCCTCTCCTTTATTTATCCTTCCCGGTGGCAAAAGCTCTCGCTGCACACGGTGAGGGTCCGGGTTTCATTCCCGGAGAAGGGATGGAAACATCGGACGTGTTTCCTTACACCGGTTGTCTATGTTCACCCATCAGTAAAATGGGTACCTGGGTGTTAGTGGACTGGCGTGGGTCGCATCCTGGGACAAAACTGACTTAATTTGCCCGAAATGCTCTGAATAACTAGGGGCTTTCTATATAGTAGTATGTCATTGATGTCAGCTAGGTGTTGTACATGTACTTGTAGTAAACAAAATTATTATTATTATTATTATTATTATTATTATTATTATTGTTATTGTTATTATTATTATTATTATTATTATTATTATTATTATTATTATTATTGTTATTGTTATTGTTATTGTTATTATTATTATTATTATTATTATTATTATTATTATTATTTCCAGTCTCTGTACCTAGTTCTTTACTTCTTACTAGCTCTTACGAGTGTGAAGGTTCATACTTTCCCTCGTACAGTCCCCTTATTACGAACACAGGTAATGAACGGTCTGTTATCTGGTTGTAATGGGATTTGGAACAAAACAGACTCAGCAGATAGACTATAATATATATTTTACCTTCACCCACTATATACAAATATGTACACTATGTTCAGATGGAGTAATAAGTGTACATGACGGTGACAGATGGCAAAGCGAAAGCCAGAGTGCACCGTACTCAACCAGCAGGTAGGCAAGTCTGCCAAATGCTGACTGCAAGTGAACCATATTGTTTCAGCTTTGGCGGGCTTGCCTGTGATTGGTCAGTGAATCAAAGTACTGATTTAACAATGGGTATCCTTATTAATTGTTAAACCCTTAGCACCTGGTTCGCTGGTTGGGAGGCAGCCTATATGGGAGTGTGACATATGCCAAATAAATTGTAACATTCTCCTTGCATGCCACCCCCCACCCCCAGTTGGACTCCAATAGCCAGGACTAGACCTCCACCTCCATGGGTAGTGTTCCACCATGACACTGAACAATAATGGAACTACATTTCCTCTCAACCATCCAACTCATTAGATAGTGCTCAACTTGTCTCGAGACTCAAAGTCAAACTCTGTCCTAGAGCGAGACAGCAGACAGTAGGGTTAACGTTGGTTCAAGACACCTGCAGACAGCAGCAGAATGTCCCCCTCACTAAAAAAAAAAAAAACTCACCAAAATCATTAAAACATTTATAAAGGGGAAAAAAAGAGCTAAGCTACCAATATGGTCCCTAACACATCCTAACCTAACTTAAACACGGGAAAGGGAATCAGGCAGCCTATTTTCTTGCTGGCAATATGCACGAGTTTAATATTGTAAGGCTGCAGCCTGAGACTCCGTCTCATCAGACGTGCGTTGAGGTTTTTCCATGGTGTTGAGGTAGCTCAGTGGATTGTGGTCGTTGTAGACTGTGACCACTTGGAACAACTGCCCCAAGTAGACCTCGAAATGTTCCAATGCAAGCATCAGAGCGAGAGCTTCTTTCTCAGTGGTGGCGTAAGCCCTTTGGTGAGGTTGATTCTTGGCAGAGAAGCAGGCCACTGGCTGCAAAAATTCTTCCCTAGAATTTGTAGGAGTACTGCCCCTACCCCTGACTCACATGCATCAACCTGTAATACAAAAGGTTTTGAAAAATTGTGAGACAGGAGAATGGGTGCAGTACAAAGTAGCCATTTGGTTTTATTAAAAGATTCTTTGCATTCTGAGGTCCATTGAAATTTTTGTTTCTGACTGATAAGTGAGGTTAGGCGGCAACAATATCTGCAAAGTTCTTACAGAATCATCTGTATTCGCCAGACTAACACACTTTGTGCTAATCTATAGAGGCTCTTGGTGTCTACTATATTTCTTGTCCCTCTTGTCCTCTTCAGTACTTTGGAGAAACTGGCCGATCTCTTTCTGACAGACTCAGGGAGCACAAAAGCAGTGTTAGGTTTGCCGACACCAACAATGTTCTTTTCTGTCGTGTCAGAGATCACAGTCATCCTATTGACTGGTCTTCTGCTAAAACTGTCTTCCCTGCTTTTAACTTTCACAGTCGCCGTCTGGTTGAATCCTCCCTAATACACAACTTTCCTTGTATGAATCTTAGTCGTGGCTTAGTCTCTGTAGATGCCTAATTTCCAATTACACTGTAAAATTTTCCAAACTTCAGAACACCCGTGACTTAACTTGTTTCTTTTTTCTCCTTCTCCCTCTTCCCCTTTCCTCTTTCATCTTTCTCCTCTGGGTGTTCTTTTTCCTGTCTTGGGTGCTTGTCCATTATTATGTTTCTTTCCACTCTGTGTTTTTGTTCCTACCCTTTGTGGGCCCCTACCTCCCTTGGGGGGTCCCTAGCTCCCTTGGGGGGTCCCTAGCTCCCTTGGGGGGTCCCTAGCTCCCTTGGGGGGTCCCTAGCTCCCTTGCAGTGCTACTCTTTCTTAGTCTTTGACTGACTCCACTCCTTCTATACTAAGATAAGATAAGATAAGATTTCGTTCGGATTTTTAACCCCGGAGGGTTAGCCACCCAGGATAACCCAAGAAAGTCAGTGCGTCATCGAGGACTGTCTAACTTATTTCCATTGGGGTCCTTAATCTTGTCCCCCAGGATGCGACCCACACCAGTCGACTAACACCCAGGTACCTATTTGCTGCTAGGTGAACAGGACAATAGGTGTAAGGAAACGTGTCGGAATTTCCACCCGCCGGGAATCGAACCCGGGCCCTCCGTGTGTGAAGCGGGAGCTTTAGCCACCAGACCACCGGGCCACAATTCTACTACTACTACTACTACCTCTTCACTACCTCTCTTCCTTTCCTACTACCTATCTTGTCCCTTCCCTGTCTGCTGGCCTATATATACTCCCTCCTTCTCTCCTTCGGTCCAAGTCGGGCCGAAACGTCGTCGTAGCTCCTCTCTCCTATCTATGTGCGGGTTATTTGTGTAATGCACTAATAATGGTCGAGGATGAGCCTGAAAGAACATCTCGAGTAATATACTCTCAGACAGCCACCTGATGTACCACCTGATGGACCACTAGGTGGTGCACCTGATGGCCCACCAGGTGGTGCACATGGTGGCCTAACCATGTTATCCAACCAGCTGCAGATCATCTATGCAGCTGGTTGGATAACATGGGAAGTAATAGACTAACACCTCTTCCACATTGCTCATTAGGAAAATTTAACATATGGAATAAAAATCCTAACAATATAAGCTAAATAAAAAAAGATGGGGTGAGTAGACGGGTTCTTAGTCATGCTTTGACACTCAAACAAAGCAGCCACCAAACAAAGCCACCAAACAAAGCCACCAAACAAAGCCACCAAACAAAGCCACTAGACCAAGGTGACCAAGCATCAAAAGGTATTGGTGAAAGACTCTTGGTATAAGGAACTAGTACTACCCTTCAATAATTGTGACACTGTTTCTGTATGTAGAGGTGTATCAAGTTATACAGAAGATGTGACTGACTTGCACGTGTTGAAAAACAAATGATAACAAATTAGATTTGAAATGAGTGAAATCATGTAAATGTGATGAATCATGGTTCTGTGGAACTATGCAACAAGAACGTTCGTCAATTATTCCGTAATGTCACCAGGCTTCTGATCAGCAAGTTTGACCAATTTCTGTACAATTCTCTTGCTCAAACTGTCCCTGTAATTTGCGTACAGCTGGTATGACTAAGCTAAACTTGCCTTAGTTCTGTTCACTAAAAACTAAAGTTATTTTTAGAAACCATTTTTTCACATTTCCTTTAGGATTTTAATTTCGGGCTGAAATTTTGTATAGAGAATATATAAATTCATAGAACAAGCTAGATCTTGTGCATGTCACACCATCAAGTCCAACGACACTTTTTATTTGTCTGTTAAAGAGGAGCAACTTACCCAAGTTGATGATGCCAGCGACCAGTTCTATGATGCCAGCCATGAAGGTGAGGAGAACAGCATAGTCAGCCCCGCCCTGACCACTATACTGGTACGTCATGAGGGACATGATAGCTGTTGGTCCGATGCTGAGCTCATTTGTTGACCCCAGCAGGAAGTACACGAAGCAGGGAATGAAGGCAGAGTACAGCCCGAACTATAGCCAAGAGAAAGAGGAGGGAGGGGGGGGGAGATGAGTGAGAATGATGGTTAATAAAACTCACAAAAGCGAGGCTGACCCAAATAAATAACTCTCAAGTTTACAATGGCCCAGGACAGACCAGCATTTCATTCCCGGGTTAGTTGTCATTGTGAGCGGCAGCACAGGATGTCATACTGGGGTCATAATAGCACAGGATGTCATACTGGGGTCATAATAGCACAGGATGTCATACTGGGGTCATAATAGTACAGGATGTCATACTGGGGTCATAATAGCTACAGGATGTCATACTGGGGTCATAATAGCACAGGATGTCATACTGGGGTCATAATAGCACAGAGTCATATGGGTCATAATAGTACAGTCAACTGGGGTCATAATAGCACAGGATGTCATACTGGGGTCATAATAGTACAGGATGTCATACTGGGGTCATAATAGCACAGGATGTCATACTGGGGTCATAATAGTACAGGATGTCATACTGGGGTCATAATAGTACAGGATGTCATACTGGGGTCATAATAGCACAGGATGTCATACTGGGGTCATAATAGTACAGGATGTCATACTGGGGTCATAATAGCACAGGATGTCATACTGGGGTCATAATAGCACAGGATGTCATACTGGGGTCATAATAGCACAGGATGTCATACTGGGGTCATAATAGTACAGGATGTCATACTGGGGTCATAATAGCACAGGATGTCATACTGGGGTCATAATAGCACAGGATGTCATACTGGGGTCATAACAGCACAGGATGTCATACTGGGGTCATAATAGCACAGGATGTCATACTGGGGTCATAATAGTACAGGATGTCATACTGGGGTCATAATAGCACAGGATGTCATACTGGGGTCATAATAGCACAGGATGTCATACTGGGGTCATAACAGCACAGGATGTCATACTGGGGTCATAATAGCACAGGATGTCATACTGGGGTCATAATAGCACAGGATGTCATACTGGGGTCATAATAGCACAGGATGTCATACTGGGGTCATAATAGCACAGGATGTCATACTGGGGTCATAATAGTACAGGATGTCATACTGGGGTCATAATAGCACAGGATGTCATACTGGGGTCATAATAGCACAGGATGTCATACTGGGGTCATAATAGCACAGGATGTCATACTGGGGTCATAATAGCACAGGATGTCATACTGGGGTCATAATAGTACAGGATGTCATACTGGGGTCATAATAGCACAGGATGTCATACTGGGGTCATAATAGCACAGGATGTCATACTGGGGTCATAATAGCACAGGATGTCATACTGGGGTCATAATAGCACAGGATGTCATGCTGGGGTCATAATAGCACAGGATGTCATACTGGGGTCATAATAGCACAGGATGTCATACTGGGGTCATAATAGCACAGGATGTCATACTGGGGTCATAATAGTACAGGATGTCATACTGGGGTCATAATAGCACAGGATGTCATACTGGGGTCATAATAGCACAGGATGTCATACTGGGGTCATAATAGCACAGGATGTCATACTGGGGTCATAATAGCACAGGATGTCATACTGGGGTCATAATAGCACAGGATGTCATACTGGGGTCATAATAGCACAGGATGTCATACTGGGGTCATAATAGCACAGGATGTCATACTGGGGTCATAATAGCACAGGATGTCATACTGGGGTCATAATAGCACAGGATGTCATACTGGGGTCATAATAGCACAGGATGTCATACTGGGGTCATAATAGCACAGGATGTCATACTGGGTCATAATAGCACAGGATGTCATACTGGGGTCATAATAGCACAGGATGTCATACTGGGGTCATAATAGCACAGGATGTCATACTGGGGTCATAATAGCACAGGATGTCATACTGGGGTCATAATAGTACAGGATGTCATACTGGGGTCATAATAGCACAGGATGTCATACTGGGGTCATAATAGCACAGGATGTCATACTGGGGTCATAATAGCACAGGATGTCATACTGGGGTCATAATAGCACAGGATGTCATACTGGGGTCATAATAGCACAGGATGTCATACTGGGGTCATAATAGCACAGGATGTCATACTGGGGTCATAATAGCACAGGATGTCATACTGGGGTCATAATAGCACAGGATGTCATACTGGGGTCATAATAGTACAGGATGTCATACTGGGGTCATAATAGCACAGGATGTCATACTGGGGTCATAATAGCACAGGATGTCATACTGGGGTCATAATAGCACAGGATGTCATACTGGGGTCATAATGGATCTCAGCAGACCACAATTAATAAAGTTATATTATCTAATAATTACAGCAATTCTTACAAGATTCATCACTGCCGAATTAGGTTATAATCTCTAAATTACTGACATCTTAACACTAAAGTTATTTCATATATTCTCAGTCAGTTAATACAGTTTATCCAGTTTTTATTTATCATCAGTATTAGTTACAAAGTAATGTGTGGCTATTCTGATTTAATGTAAAATAAGGAACTAATCTAAGCATCGCATAGCCACTCTACTGATTATGACGAAGGGCAGAATAATTTTACAAATCCACAGGGTAAAGAAAGTGGTTAGGTGAAAAAGTGGTCATAAACGCCACTATAAAGACAGTGGCTGGGAGAGAGAGTAAACATGGCAACAGGAGTGAAAGAACAGACATTTAGGAAGTAGCTGAGGAAAAGTACAGACATAATGGAAAGATAAACAAGGGAGTAATGAAAAGGCTACTTACACTTGGAGTGAGGCCAGCTACAAGACCGTAAGCCAGCGCCTGAGGTATCAACATGAGGCCAACGGTGAAGCCAGCGATTAAGTCCCCCAGCAGGCACTCTGTGTTGTAGCTCCTGAGCCAGGAGAGGCAGGGAAGACGTCGATACAGTGTCTTCCTACTTAGACACCGATCCAACTTGTTCTGACGACACCATACAAGAGGGGTACATTACTGGGAGAAACTAGCATACATGAGAGGTACATTACTGGGAGAAACTAGCATACATGAGAAGTACATTACTGGGAGAAACTAGCATACATGAGAGATATATTACTGGGAGAAACTAGCATACATGAGAGGTACATTACTGGGAGAAACTAGCATACATGAGAGGTACATTACTGGGAGAAACTAGCATACATGAGAAGTACATTACTGGGAGAAACTAGCATACATGAGAGATATATTACTGGGAGAAACTAGCATACATGAGAGATACATTACTGGGAGAAACTAGCATACATGAGAAGTACATTACTGGGAGAAACTAGCATACATGAGAGATACATTACTGAGAGAAACTAACATACATGAGAGATACATTACTGAGAGAAACTAACATACATGAGAGATACATTAATGGGAGAAACTAGCATACTTGAGAGATACATTACTAGGAGAAACTAACATACATGAGAGATACATTTCTGGGAGAAACTATCATACATGAGAGATACATTACTGGGGGAAACTAACACACGTGAGAGATACATTACTGGGGGAAACTAACACTCGTGAGAGATACATTACTAGGAGAAATTAACATACATGAGAGATACATTACTAGGAGAAACTAACATACATGAGAGATACATTACTAAGAGAAACTAACATACATGAGAGATACATTACTAAGAGAAACTAACATACATGAGAGATACATTACTGGGAGAAATTAACATACATGAGAGATACATTACTGGGAGAAATTAACATACATGAGAGATACATTACTAGGAGAAACTAACATACATGAGAGATACATTACTAGGAGAAACTAACATACATGAGAGATACATTACTAAGAGAAATTAACATACATGAGAGATACATTACTAAGAGAAACTAACATACATGAGAGATACATTACTGGGAGAAATTAACATACATGAGAGATACATTACTAAGAGAAACTAACATACATGAGAGATACATTACTAAGAGAAACTAGCATACATGAGAGATACATTACTGGGAGAAACTAGCATACATGAGAGATACATTACTGGGAGAAACTAACATACATGAGAGATACATTACTGGGAGAAATTAACATACATGAGAGATACATTACTAAGAGAAACTAACATACATGAGAGATACATTACTAGGAGAAACTAACATACATAAGAGATACATTACTAGGAGAAACTAACGTACATGGGAGATATATTACTGGGAGAAACTAACATACATGAGAGATACATTATTAGGAGAAACTAACATACATAAGAGATTCATTACTAGGAGAAACTAACGTACATGGGAGATATATTACTGGGAGAAACTAACGTACATGAGAGATACATTACTAGGAGAAACTAACATACATGGGAGATACATTACTAGGAGAAACTAACGTACATGGGAGATACGTTACTGGGAGAAACTAACGTACATGGGAGATATATTACTGGGAGAAACTAACATACATGAGAGATACATTACTAGGAGAAACTAACATACATGAGAGATACATTTCTGGGAGAAACTATCATACATGAGAGATACATTACTGGGGGAAACTAACACACGTGAGAGATACATTACTGGGGGAAACTAACACTCGTGAGAGATACATTACTAGGAGAAATTAACATACATGAGAGATACATTACTAGGAGAAACTAACATACATGAGAGATACATTACTAAGAGAAATTATCATACATGAGAGATACATTACTAAGAGAAACTAACATACATGAGAGATACATTACTAGGAGAAATTAACATACATGAGAGATACATTACTAGGAGAAACTAACATACATGTGAGATACATTACTAGGAGAAACTAACGTACATGGGAGATACGTTACTGGGAGAAACTAACGTACATGGGAGATACATTACTAGGAGAAACTAACGTACATGGGAGATACATTACTGGGAGAAACTAACATACATGAGAGGTACATTACTGGGAGAAACTAGCATACATGAGAGATACATTACTAGGAGAAACAAACGTACATGGGAGATACATTACTGGGAGAAACTAACATACATGAGAGATACATTACTAGGAGAAACTAACGTACATGGGAGATACATTACTGGGAGAAACTAACATACATGAGATACACATTACTAGGAGAAACTAACATACATGAGAGATACATTACTGGGAGAAACTAACATACATGAGAGATACATTACTGGGAGAAACTAACATACATGAGAGATACATTACTGGGAGAAACTAACATGCATGAGAGATACATTACTGGGAGAAACTAACATACATGAGAGATACATTACTGGGAGAAACTAACATACATGGGAGATACATTACTAGGAGAAACTAACGTACATGGGAGATACATTACTAGGAGAAACTAGCATACAAGAGAGATACATTACTAGGAGAAACTAACATACATGAGAGATACATTACTGGGAGAAACTAACATACATGAGAGATACATTACTGGGAGAAACTAGCATACTTGAGAGATACATTACTGGGAGAAACTAACATATATGGGAGATACATTACTAGGAGAAACTAACACACGTGAGAGATACATTACTGGGAGAAACTAGCATACATGAGAGATACATTACTGGGAGAAGCAAGAACGACGAGAAGTTCATGACTGAAAGAAACTAGGGTACTTACGTTGGGTTACTCAGGAATATAGGTCAGGTGAGATATAAATAACTGGGGAAGGAAAAGTTAGTGGAAGCACAGATAGTAATATTTCTGCCAAGATGTCCTGGTGAGGTTTTCATTAAATAGATAAGAAAATATTAGACAAGTTACTAGTTTAGAAGAAAAGACGTGAATGAACTCGTATTCCTGCTGTAGCTCTTGTTAGAAAAATTTAACCTGTGTGACAGCAAGAAGCGTCAAAAACAGCGGCTGTCAACTAATAACACATGCCAGGGAAAGGAATATTGTTGGTACCAGTTTCTGAATTACATATCGGACTGTGCAATTATTTCCTAGGAGGCTACCATGACAGCCGTCATGAAGCATATCCGTCATATAGCGAGGCTACAATCCCGTTCTTGCTCTCCCTTGTTTCTGAGATAGACTGTGACAGTAGCCAGGATTCGCCATTCAGTGGACGTTGTTAGGAAAGTAGTTCAACTCTTTAATCCAAGAGACGCATCAGCCACTCTACTCACTAGTTAAAAAAAAAAAGTCCAGAACTGGCATAGAACTCATGGCGAGGATCAGTTTGTTATAAGGTTTGGTAGTTTGCACATTAAAATGGCACCTCTAATGTCGTCTGGGGTTTGGTAGGAGAAACGAGGGTTGAAGGTAAACACCTTGTTGGATATATATTGTCACTATATATATTGTCAGACTGTGATGAGAGGTGGGAGCCCAGGCCTGCCGTGTTCTGCCTGCTTCTGCGTCTATCCGTGGAGTGAGGACGAGGCAGCTCATCTCACTGACTCATGCTGTATCCCATGATGTCATACAGTCACAGGCCTACCAGGGATCTTCTATATAAAGCACATGGATGGTACTATAATACTCAGCTAATCTATACAACACATGTAAAGGGATCAGCAAATATGCTGACAGCTCGGTCATGTTACGTATGTCGTCTCGACATACACTACTATGCTATAGGCTGAACAGGCAGGTGGCTCTGGGCTGATTCTATACAATAACAAATACATATATAACTTAGAACTAATGGATGGTATCATAATGGATGTTAACAAAATGAGTTTTACGTAATGGGTGTTAACGTAATCACTTTTAACGTAATGAGTTTCATTGTAATGCATTACGACTTATCAGAACAAATCATTGTACATTATGGATGGAATTGATCGATCGATCTGTATTCATGCACTCTACGGATTCTGAGGAACAATAAATATATATATACAAGGTGAAATTAACAGCAAAGGCAATCTGGTGCACTATGAAAAAACTGATCAGTTAATAACACACAGTTGACAATTTCCTTCATCTCGGTCATCAATTATACAGACTGTGTACATTTAAACCCAATTCTGCGAGGGTGAGGTTTACATATGCAGAATGGTTATCATCTCTGGGAGGATCGAATTCCTCTGCATGGGCTAACACATGCCTTGACTGAGGGAGATCTGAAAGAGTATCTACAAAATATACTTGTGGGTTTCTCATTACTTGTCGAGTACGCAAGGAGTAACGACATTCAGGTTGATTATCTGACTGAGTATTTGAGGTAGAGGGTACAGAGTCAAGAGGATTTTCAGCATCTGTCACATTGTGATGAATGGTTTGAAAAACCGACAAGTTGAAGATTGAGACACTTATGCAGCATATGAGAATCTTTATTCAGGAAACGTTTCGCCACACAGTGGCTTCATCAGTCCAATACAAAGAGGAAGGCGTAAGGAGAGGAGGAGAATGAGTTAATCAGTCCCTCAACCTGGAGTCGATGTGTTCAGTCCATCGACTCCAGGTTGAGGGACTGATTACCTCATTCTCCTCCTCTCCTTACGCCTTCCTCTTTGTATTGGACTGATGAAGCCACTGTGTGGCGAAACGTTTCCTGAATAAAGATTCTCATATGCTGCATAAGTGTCTCAATCTTCAATCTGTCACATTAGTCTGGGTAGCAATATCATCAACATCGCATACTAATTTTATATGATCTAAATGCGATTCTTTGTACTTACCAGTACTAATTTCTCTAACCTTATACTTATTGCCAGTGATATGTTCTACAACTCGATAAGGTCCGACAAACTTTTGATCGAGCTTAGGCACTGTGGATGATTTTGTTAAAATTTCGAACCTACTTTAACTTTGATGGCTTAGCACGACTATTAGGTTACTCTAGTAAATTCTGCTGTTGATTTATGAAGTGTTTCACTGATTCTTCTAAAAACACTCTGAGCCATGCTGGTACGAGTTGCTATGAAATCATCAGGGTTGTAATTGGGTTTCGGAGTGGAATATA